ATATTTTAGAAATTATTATCTTTTTATTAATGTACTTATAAAATTATTAATAATTTATTTGATAGTTTAATTATTATTAAATAGCAATCATTAATTATTAAATATTATTTTAGTAAATATTTACTTGTTTATTAATTTTTATATATTTATTACTTTATTAATTCTTAATATATTTATTGTTTTATAATATTTTCTAATCAATTTATAACCACGGATAACTATTATCTATGACTATAGTTATAAGTAGCTTTTACCCACAAATAAAGAGCTTTAGCTACAAAAAAAACAATCGTAGCAATTCTACTTTTATAACTTATAGCCACGGATACTTTAAAACCATGGCTATAAGTATCTCTTATTCACAGACAAAGAGCTTTTAATCACGGGCAAAATGTCCATAGCTAAAGTTCATCTTTTTGCCACGAACATGAAGTTGTTTGTAGTGGCCATGGCTATATCCCATGTTTTAGCTACGGTTTTTACGACGGTAGCTAAAACACAATAGTTATAGCCCCATTTTCTTGTAGTGACCTCTCTGCCTATAATTATCAAAATACTGTCCATAGGGAAGGACCTCTCCCCAAATTGTAAGATGCAATGCTATACTTTGGTTAAATGAATCTCGAGATTAAATCCTTTTGTAAACCTTTTTCATAAAATAATATTTTAAAATATATAAATATATTTTGCAAATCAAATTTCAAATACAATTGAAATTCACTATCAATAGTTTATGCTTCCATTAGAAAGAATGTAAACCCTAATATTCATTTTGTTTGACCAAATGGTCGATCCTATCACTATGATCACTCACTCAAGTGATTTCCCAAACTGTCCAACATGCCCAGGTATTTGACCATCGATGGATCTCACTGCTTGACATATCAAAGACAGCTCAGTCTAACACCTAGCGTAGTATCATAATCAAGTCTAGGGTAAAGTGCAACTTTTCAGTTTTGTACATTTATCTCCAAGGTCCAAAACATAACTGGAAGTTGATTCGAGTTCAATGTTTCTTGTAAACACCCACTACCTGTACTTAGGGTCTAACCCTACCTGCTAAGACAAGCTACTCCAACTATTTGGTAGCACACTAGTGTTAGCCTTGTCATGATAAACTCTCCAAATCTATCCAATGGCTGAGAACATTCTAAACTAGCACAAGTTTCTTAAATGTCTAGTTTAAAGAATAACTCACAGAAAACATACTAATATGAACATAAAACAATAATGTACTTTATTCATTTACAGATAAATGTTTATGTACATCAGTCTAATTAGAGCTAAAGGCATACACTGTCTAACAGTCATAGATAGATTTAGGATAAAATTCATAGAGAGGTCTTGCCAAGGCTTATGTGGAACTGGTAAACATGTCTACAAACTTGTATTTTTCTTTCTCCATTTTTTCTAGTTGACAAATTTTACATTGTTTGATAACATGATCAACATTAGCCTTAAAGCTAGGCCAATAAAAGCAATATTCAACCATAGCTATGGCCTTAACATGACCAAAATGCCACTTGCATGTAACTCTCATATAATATATATAATCATGTGGTAAAGTATCAAGAAGGCACAACCAAGTTCCCTTGAACAAATAATCATTATGGATAGAAAAGACAAGATATATAAATTGGTGTCCAACCTGTAAAGAACGACAAGTGATGCTCAAATCCTTACAAGCTAGCATAAACTTGCTTCAGATGATTGAATCCCACATGACATAGAATGAACTATAAGCACCACTTAACTCAACACATTGGCTACTCAATTCTTTGCACCAACTATATGCTTAATCACAAAGTTATATTCTACTAAGAAATTAGTCCATTTTTATGACTACTATGATGCTTCTAATATGTTGAGATATTTGATTGTTTGATGATCTGAATATAAAACAAACTCTTAGGGAATTAAATTATGATGCCAATGTTGAAGACATTGCACAACAACATAGAATTCATTGTCATATGTTCAGTATTTTTTGTTTAGTTTCATTATGATTTTCATTATTAAAAAATATAGGATGTCCTTTTTACATAAGCACACCACCTATTCCAATTTGGGACGCTTCACAAAACACCTTAAAATATTTTGGAAAAGTTAGGTAGTTGTAACACAGGGTCTTAGTCATCCTTTGCTTAACAATCTCATAGGCTTTAGTTGCAACCTTGCACCAAATAAATTCCCCCTTTTTTGTAGCTTTTATAGTTAGTGTCAAAGTTTGTTATAAAAACGTCTGTAAAAGAATAAATAAAAATAGTCAATCCATGAGAGTTTCTCATTTCGTGGATGTTAGTGGGGATGGACCAGTCAAGTATAGCTTTCACCTTGTTATGATCAGCCTTGACAACCTTTAAAGGATATAGCAAATCCTAAAAAGACAACACTATGTGCCATAAAAGAATATTTATTTAAGTTGATGTAGAGATTTTCTTGAAATAAGACCCATCACTTGATGAAGATGGTCAAGATGATTATTAGGAGTACGGTTGTATATAAGAACATCATCAAAGAATAAAAAAAAATAAAAAAAATAAAAAAAAACAAGAAATGACCAATAAAATGGCGAAGTACCTTAATCATAAATCTCGTGAAAGTGCCAGGAGCATTAATTAATCCAAAAGAACACTCATATAATACAATGGGTGCTCTACAATAATAGGGAGAAGTCCTATTTTTCCTCTAAAAACATTAGGGACTTTCCTCATTGTTTTTCCTCTAAAAACATTAGGTACTTTCTCCTTAGGATGAGGCACAGGTCCCTACAATTGAGACTTTTTCTCAACCAGTAACTACTTTTAGTGGACAAGTTCAAAAGAGATAAACCAAAAACAAAATTTTGTTTCATAAGAAAATAATAGCAATGATAATAATAATAATAAAGAGGGTATTGATAGTGTGTGCATGTTAGTCCACATAAAACAAATATACCATCAATTGTGTGGTTATTTCTGTTGACCTATGTATAGTCCTATACGTCGAGAATGATATCAACGGCCATAAACCACTCGGTCTAATATAGAACGAGCATACCAAATCTGAACCCAATGGAGCGACATAGATCTTCCAAAGAAATTTGTAGGTGAAAATTCCGGCTCCAGCAACTCATCAAACTAAATCCGCTAGAAAACATGGCTCCTCACGTCGCATTGAGAGTTGGGTGCCAGAACTCTGTGGCAGAGTTCCACCATCGGTGCCCATAACTAAATCTCACCCATCCAAAAATAGAAGGTGATATTTCCCTATGTTTTACTACGAGGGCTCAACATTTTTCAATCATATAAGTTCTAAAAGCTTAGTTTGGAAGGAGAACAAATACAATATATACACAATAATACAAAATTCAAGGTTTTGCATTCTATATATTTGTATTTGTACTTCTTCCAAACTGAGCCAAAGGAGAAAATACCATCTACATCACTTCCAACAATCGTTGAAAATCGTAAAAGTTCAAAAGCGCTAAGAAGCTCAGACTTGGAAACATATCTTCGTCCTTTAATGAGGTGTGGCCAGCATTGGTGTGATTGCCACCAGACCATAGAATGGATGGGGTTGGTCACAGATTCAGAGAACAAATGGGTTAAGTTGCAATTGGATTATGCTACCAACCCTGTCTCAATAGGCTGCTGCAGCCTTACATTGGGAATAGGACTTGGAATCTGCTACCCACAAGTTCCCACACCCATACCCACCGAGCACCACCATCATGTATTTGGAACATCTCCCGATACCGGGAGATATTCCCAATGCGTAGGTATCATATCTCATGAGTAGAGATGTGGGACATCTCGTGGGTGGCAGATCCGACCTCTAAAAATAGACATGTTCACGGGCATGGCTTCAGGCCTTACTTTCCACATGTAGGGCTTAAAACCAGTCAAATATTTACGAAAGACAAGCCCGACCACCGGCCCATGAACAGATTAGATTGGGAACATTTTCCATTGTCATTGATGGGGAGATGTTCCTGTTGTACTTGTACAGCTGCAATGGCTGGTTTGGACATTGTTGGCACCTTCAATAGGTAGCCGACCCAAACTTGAAGCGAACTCCCCACATGGGTTTTAACATGGCAGCTCACGCACTAGCCCATAATGGACCATGTGGTGGTTACTCCGTTTTTTATTTTCTCTCAAACTATTGCAAATGATATTACTGCAAAGATTTGATGAGCAGATCAGTTAAATGATGGAACAGCTATATACACAAGGCTTAATTGAGTTGAGATACCGTTTGCAGTTTACACCCTACCCCATTACTAGGGGCGTCAATTGGACTGGATTTTGTTTATAAATGGATTTGATCCAATCCGGTCCAGTCCAATGTGAATCTATTATAAATGGATTTGGTCCAATCCGGTCCAGTCCAATGAATATTTTGGACTGGTCTAGGGACTGTTCAGTCTGTTCAATCTGTTCAAATTCCTATTAATTTAGATTGGTTTCAACTCAAACCTGGTCCATTGAAACCTATATTCTCATCTTTTATCACTGGACCAGATATTGGCCCAATCCAATATAAATTCATTATGGACTGATCAGGTGCAATCCAATATGTCATATTGGTCCATCCAGTCCATCCAAATTCAATATGTCTTATTGGTCCGTCCAATCCATCCAAATGGATTTTGATTTGGACTTTGGACGGAGTCCAACTCAAAACCGGTCAATTGATACCCTACCCCATTACCTCAGTCCTCCATATGAGATATGACAGAGTTTATAATGCAAATTCGAAATAGGTGGGTGCTCTTTCACTTGACCACCACCAAGGAAAAACATAGCCAAAGGCTCAGTCTTGGAAAGGGTACAAATACAAATTTGTACGGTGCAAAACATTGTATTTGCACCGTACATATTTGTATTTGTACTCTTTCCAAACTGAGCTGAGCCAAAGATGGTTTCAGCAAGTGTATAGACAGACTAGCTCATAATCTAGTTTCTGATTTTTCTGTGAACTAAAAATTTTCCAAATCCCCAGTGCTTTGAAGCTTGTAACGAAAAAATTGAACAAAAGGGAAATTAAACAACCAGCCTTTCTATTTTTCTTTTATAAACAACTAAAGTACTTATAAGTGAGTTAGTTACCCAAAATTCCCTACAACTTTAGGGAAGTCTGTTGTTGATCCCCAGAAAAGAAAAAAATAAAACTCACTTTGGAGACCGTACGCATCCTCCAGGAAGAAGGAACTTGAACTTGTCGGAATTCTGTATCACGTATGCAGGGAGATGAATTGCAGAAACTGATCTCGGGATCGAACCCATCTTCTTAATCAGCTCTCTGAAGGTGTATTCTTCTGGTAACATATCAAACAGATCATCGCCTCGGCAGATGATTTTCTGAATTCTTGAGTAATCGAGAAAATCTCGTCGCCTCACCCGATCAGCATGGCTGTAAGCAGTCATCTTGAACACGAATTCCTTAATGTGCCGAAAGCAAAAGCTGCAATGCCAGCCAGCATCAGAAAGTATAACATCAGTCTGCCTGCTATGCCTGTAACGTGTTCTAGGTCCAAATACATGGCTCGTTGCTCGCCAGCTGCTAAAATCCACAAGGTATTCGTAGGAGTACAAGTAATTCCTCAGCTCAAGATGCAGAACTGGTGGGATCCCATCACACCATTGCAGGAGTTTCATGGTGTTTGCACTTGGGATTTCATCGGTATCAGACATTATAAGAAGATCGCCATTAGAGATGCCTGCCTGCTTCAGTAATGCATTCATGGCTACACGTTGCTCCCCCTCGAGTATAAAAGGGTCCTCGTAAGAGCGGCGACTGGCTTTCCGACCTGAGAATACACCATAGACAATCTTCTCCTCTGCAAAATTGAATCTGGCCTGGTTCTGAGCGAAGAAGAGAGGCTTTGCGATGCCGGTGAAAGTGGTGTTCGATTCTAGGATGACGAATTTTGTGACATAAGGGAGAAGCTCGTGCCATCTGATCTCAAGTATGTCAAGCTCATTGCTGAAGATAATGGCGTCGAAGACGCGCCGCGGCTGGGAGCGGAGGGACCAGCCGTGGAGGTGGCAGAGGTGTTCCATTGAGACATTCTCGGCGTAGTAATGGGGAAGGCGGATGAATGGCTCAGGAGGCGTGTCCCAGAGTGGACGGAAGAAGTAAGAAATCTTCTGGCCATGGCTGAAGATACCAAGCACAATAATGGGTACAAGTATGAGGAAGAAGATGAGAAGACACTTCGGGGATGCTCTTCTGGAGCTGAACCTGTTGGATCTTCCGCTTCCGGCCATGGCGGAAGATGGCCAATGATGGGTGGATTCAAAATGACCAATTCCAGTAATTGTTCTACATGAGTTGGGAGCTTGCTAGAATTCAAATTTTGATCAGTATAGCTTAAACCAAAACCAGAGATCCAGAACTACTTGGGCAGAAGGAATCAAAGCAAAGGATGACAGATTGATCTCAAATCGAAATGGGTCTGGTCTGGTAGGAGTAGGACCCACCAAGCAAATTAGCCCCGGTGTTGTGTCTCACTATGAACAACCAATCAGACAATCGTGTTTGTCATGATTAATTATCACAGTGGAAACATACAAAACACAAAGATCTACGGAATACAGACAGACAGCTATTCAAGAAATCAAGTTGAGATAGCAGAAGAACTCAAGAGAGGGAAGATGGGAAGATGTATACACGGATAGAGAGGGAAGATGGGAGATATCCAAGCCTGAGGGAACTAGTTGGAGTAAGCACAACCGTCCGATCAGTATCGTTAGTAACTTGAGTGGTCACCGGAGATCAAAATTCACCTGTTGCCACTTGCCAAAAAGAGGACTGAAAAGGCAAAAACCAGTTTTCAGCTAACGTGCGCAGATGTTGCGCATACTTGACTTGGTAAAGTCGCTAATCAGCGCGAAACCCCAAACTCGGACTTGGAGCCCCGCTGTGTCACCTCATAAAAAGCATACTTCAGCGGTTTAGCCCTCCAAGGAAATTGCTAAAATGCGCTCCCTGCGCAGCGACGGCTTTCTGCCGGAGAAAAGACCGGTGTGTGTCGGAGATTTCCCTTTTCACGTCCACGTGAACGTAAACGATGGAGAACTTCTCAAATCCAGAACCTCAGATTTGACGTAAATCTTATCTGGTTTCACCTAAAAATCCCGTAAAAATTCAAGCTTTCCATCAAATACCAACCAAAACACTTTCGACTTTCATCGTTGCAATCCATTAGCCCACACGCAGAGCTACAAACCATCATCCCAATTCGAAAAAAAAAAAAAAGAAAGCCAAAACCCAAAAGTCCTTGAAGCTCACCTTTAAATAATATTTCGACGTTGATCCTTCGTCAATTCAATCCCTCTCGCTCGAGCTGGTATATCTCCTCCATCACGAAACTCCAATCCAAATCGAGTGAGAAGCATTGGTTTTGCCTTGGAAGAGAAGATTTGGGGATTCTTTTCCTGGGGAAATTACAGATGTAATGCAGGCTTTGCATTTATGCATGGATAGAAAAAGGAATAGACAAAGCATGCATTAAATGAATATGCACAAAAGCTATCTAAATTTAGCCGTTTCGTCTCCAGATTTGGTGGGTCTGCGCTCGATATCTTGCTCTTTATGGATTGATTGAATCGCAGTTACTTGCTGCTCTTCCTCTGAGAATAGAAAGAAACTATGCGAAGCAGACTATTCCGCTATAGGAAGATTATGTGTTACGCGACGCAAGTTAAGAATGTGTATAAACCGATTTTAAGCTTTTTGTTTAGAATCTTTACGAATATGGAGGCATTTGAAGGGTGATGACGGGAAGATATGTTATTTATTAAGGCAGGCTAGGGATATTTCCTTCTTCCGGTCACCGCCCAACGCTTGTCAACAATGCAGAAGGCAAGAATGTTTACAGACTGGAGATTCAATGGGTCCCTTCACAATAAAGGGCTGAAATGTCTGTAGGTTGCCACGTGGTAAATTATACACGGTCGGGATCTATTGTCGGCTGGGTAAGCGTAAGAAATTGAAACCAATTGATTAAAGAGTAGCCAGCAGTTTAGCTACATTAGATGCGCTGCAGCTGCAGACACTATGGGCCCACAAAATGAAACGTTAAAAATGACTTTTTCTGGAGTGGGGCTAATGTAGCAGTGCGTATCATGTGCAGCTGCTTGATAGAATTTGCATTTACTTGCAAACGTTAAAAATGCCGGTGCCAGCGGTGGTGCGGTTTCATGGCAGCCATGCAAGCGTGCTGCATATCGGTTGCCTTTTGTTTCGTATGGTAGAATTTGGCGGTGTTTGGAATCAAGGACGTTTATTGAATAAACGCTGCCACATGGGAGCTATTTATGTGATTATTTACAGTTGGGGAAATTTTCATTTTAGCGCTGGAAGGTGTTTATTATTGTTTTTTTCGATTTTGCAAGTAAATCAAATACAAACGTTTAGCGAATAAATGTCTACAGTTCCAAACACATACTTTATAATTCGACCACGGTTTTATTACTCAAGAGTAAAACAATAAAAACTTATAAACAAATTCAAAGAATCAAAATAAGAAATTTAATGAATTTGTCAATAAACTATAAAAAGAATGGTCAAAAATAAAGTCAATTTCACGGTTTATGAAAATAATAATAAAAACAACATAATTTATAAAAAGAAAGTTAATATAATTCACCAATGTTCACATAAAAGATAATGGAGGCGCAAATCTTTTTAGGAAGATCTTCCAAAAGCTCAAGACATCAAAAGACCGATGAACTTTTATAGATAGATTTTCAAAGATCAAAGACCGTTTGGTTGCAATATTTTTCAAAAATCTTTTCAAAAGCTAGAAAGACCAAAAGACTGTTTGGCAAGTGTATCCCTCTTACCTACATGTGAAATGTCATGCATGGGACCCAGTAACACATTCAAACATATAAATAGTACTTGCGGGTCCCACTTATATTTACTTATGCAAAATATTAAAGTGGGCCCCACTCATGTATTTCCCTATACAAATCATTGAAGTAAATTAGATTTATATGAAAGCTACAAGAAATCCTAACCCACTTAAACTAAAAACATTATGGATTGGATCTGAATTTTCAAGTTGCAGGTAAGAGTCTATTTAAAACTTCGAATTTCCCTAAAAACTACAATCAATAGATAAACAAATGATTTCCCTTAACATCCATGTAACAAATCATTATTACAGCAAATTAGATTTAGATATAAAACTAAAAGTAATCCCAACCCACTTAAACCAAAAGCGTTAAGGATTGAATCTAAAATTTCAAGCTGCAAGTAAAAATTAGACAACTATACCCACTTAAGCACACATGTATTCAATCAAAAACCCCACTTACGATCAACTAAAACCGAATAAAATGGTTATTCAATTGGAAGACAGTCAAGTACAGATCATTGCTGAATCTGGATCATAACCATTACACGAAATCAACACTATCCAAGAGCTCCCACGGGAAGGTGGCTGTCGCCATTGCATCTACACAGGATTGGTTTCAATGTTGCCAAGAGGTTCGACTTGGAAGAGGTTAAGTACAGTTTCGCAACACAAGCTGAAGGTAAATCTGAAGGTTTAGGAGAAATGCTAGGTAGTTGTAGGTGATCATGCTCTATTTTAGATATGGAAACCTTTTGTGAAAATCACCTCCTGAATGACCAAGAAAGGTGAACTGTAGTTACTGGGACATGTTGTTGAAGCTCATTAGATGATATGCAGTTGCAGGTCTTGAAAGCACTTGAGAGTATGTTCTGTTTCTTTTGATTGAATGGCTCCAACAATACTTCTCTTATAAATTCATCTCTCGAGCATATTAGGTCATCCTTTGTTGTTTAATGCCTTACATTCTGGAAATGCTAACACATATGAATTTATGTCAAATACAACATATGTATTCTTAATGGAGAAACAACCACTACAGATATAAACTTAAAGTTGATAAACAAGAAAATAGGGCCTCAAACCTAACTACTCAAAGAATATATACATATACTGTATATCCTTTACAATCCTTTCTAGTCTATTTTCTGTATATCCTTCATATTTGTTATCATTTACACATAAGTTGAAGCAAAGATAAGATACGCAAAAGATCCTTAGATTGATGAAATTGAACAAATAAAAAAAAGAGCCTTAGATTGATGAAATTGAACAAATCAAAAAAGTCCCACATTATACTCGTGTGGGTACACCTTGTATTTTGTAGAGCTGCTCAAAAATCATTAGGGGGAACACTAACCAAATGGAACTATTTGTATAGTTGCAAAGAACTATCAATAGCTCATAATCATTTAATTAAATACTTTTCTGTGGCTGAACATTCTGCCAATTTGGTGTGAATCTAGATAAGCTACAACCAAGGTACCTCCCTGCCATTTGTGATCTCAAGAACTGAGCTAAACCTTATTACAGGGTACCTCCCTGCAATTTTCCCTTTTAATAGGTTAGAATAGCAATATAGTGATGAGAAATTGAGAACATTTTACCACCCACCTAACTAGGTACACACGTTGTCAACAACATATACTTTTTATGTGAGAATGATGTTATTTAAATTACAAAAGTTAAATGGATCTAACAACTATTAATAGTGGGAGTTAATTATGAATAAGTGAAGTCAATAGGAGGATTGTCAATCTATTACTAGATTGTCTTTATGGAAGCCCACCAATTGCTTGTTTGTTCATGACTTCAAGTTCCTTTCTAAAAACATTCCCGTTTTAATTTTAGAGAGTTTCCTGTCTAGAGATGATGACGACACCATGACAAAACATATGCAACTCAATCAGATACAGTCATACAGAAACAAATGTTCCTGTTGTTTCAACAATTTGGATGGCTTTCAATTTTATGCAAAAATTTCTTGCAACAATTACCACGTCATGCTGATTAAAAAAGGAAAAATACAATTACCATGAAATGTGAATTCACAGCCCATCATTCCAATTTGTTCTGGCTTTCAAAGTTTTAGCAATTGACCCCTCTTCCATTCACTTTAGTGAACAGAAAGTTAACAAATGAGCTAGCAGATTCACTCACTAGAGAAGTGGTCAAGTCCTATTTTCGTTGTCAAGCTTTGTCTTTTGTTGAGGAAACCTAAAGGCTTTAATTATTCACAAGATCATTTACTCTGTACCACCAATTCAGGAATGGTGGTAAAATCCACATCACACAAAGACACAGAGAAGAAGAAGAGGCGAGGTGACAACTCTAATTTGTTGGGTTATTCGAATAATAACTATTTCATCTATCAAAACAAGAAAAAGAAACAACATACCTGGTGAAAGGAATAATCAAGTGGCTGCTTGATTTCAAATGCAGTCTACAAAATGAACAATGGAATCATAAAATAAAACATGAAAATAACAAATTTTGAAAAATCTAACAACTACGAATTTTGTAGTTGGATTATTCTAGGTAACCAGTGACAACTCCAATTTCTGACCTTGGACCATACACACAATGACTAGATCTTGTAAAATGAAAAGATAGTCTCGACCGCTTGATGACTTTGGTGATTAGAAACCTAGAAACTTTAATGAACAGGAAAATGCACGAAGAATGCTAAAGTGAGAATCCTGAAGCAATAGCGATCAATCTAAAAAATAGAGGTATGAATAGAGAGAGATTCAGATCAAAGAAGAAAGGAAAAAAACTGAAGAAAAAGTAGGAAGAAAGAAAAGGAAGGAGTGCTCCATACCTGGTGTGGATATTCGTTCATTTAGGAGGCATATGCGCTTTGAGCAGAATGTGAGAGTGAAATGAAGGTTTAAGGAATGACCCCTATCGAGATCCCATAAGCTCGTAAGGACCAAAAGCTTCAATGAAGCTTCCGGATTTTGGACAATTTTGAGCTTTCTTGAGCATTTCGGGGGGATATCTTTTTAGCTTTTTGTCTTTTGTTTGCCAAACGGGAAAAACTCGTTATATGTCTTCTGAGCTTTGAAAAACCTGAAAGATCACTTAGAAAGACTAGCCAAACACCTCCAAAGTCAATTAAGTTTTTAAATGATTAAAATAATATTAAATTATTCTAATTGCCTCATCATTGTTGTTGAGCCATCAATAAAAATTTGGCATTGCTCCACGGGAACATTTTTTGTGTTTCTGACGTTTCTATGGAACAAGAATACGTTTGGTACAAAAATAACACATGAAATAATTTGTTCTGTAATAGGAAAACTTGTAACATGGAACTTAGAAACATGTTGTTCCCATGCATTTATTTAAGGTTCCGTTTGGTTAAGTGGGATAGGGATGAAAAAAAGGAAATATTCTAAATTGTAGATGGGGATAAGAATATTCATTTTTCTCTCATTTGTTTCAAGGGAAATAGGGGGATGGGATGAAAAAAAAGTGAGATGCGAGATCTCAAAATTGTGGAATCAGGGTCACACCAAAACCGTACGACCCTAGTGGAAAAAACTCGAGTTTCTTCATCTTCATCCTCTTCCCCTCCGTTACTGCACCACTACTGTTGCTGGTAACCACCGCCACTACTAATAACCACTACCGCTATTGGTAACCACCGTTGAAGATGTTTTCTCCATGGTAGAACCCAAATCAACGCAAACACAGATCTAGGTTCGCAAACACAGATCAGAGCTTCAGTCATGGAGTTGCTTTGTCTCTCCCTCCATCTTCCTCTTCTCTTTTCTCCCTTGTAATAGTGTTTTCCTATTATTTTCTCATATATAAAATCAAACAATGAAAAGGTAATTTTTTACACTTTCTCATCTCATCCCACCCAAATCTTTCACAAACCAAACAGAGTCTAAAAAAACTGACCATGTGTGCAACCTCATTCACATGCAAATGGGGTATTATAGTTAAATCACAAAAAAGAAAAAAAAAATCAAAATATCAAGAGATTGATATGCCTTAACCTCTAGCAGATCACCTTCTGCCTTCTTCCTGTTAAATCACATCGCCTTCTTCTTTTCCCCTTATTAGACAAATGATTTTTTAAAATAATGTCTAATAACCATTTATCTCTTGCTCCACACACAACCTTCTTTCACCAATGACACTAGGGAACGTTGCACCTTCTTCATCTTCTATTCCTTCTAGCAATCCATCTAGCTAACACCCAATGTATTTTATATTTTTCTTGTTTACCATTTCCAAAATTATTTTTCATTTCAATTCCATCTTCCTATTGTTTCCTCCTTCATCGAATGGTTATTCCACCTCCGTTCTAGTTTGTGCTTTGATATAATTACTTATTTAATTGACTATCAAAACATTGTTTTTGTTTCTATCGAACAGAAATCTATTCCCGACAAACAAATTGCCAAACACCTTGGTTATTCCTCCTGAGCAGGAAACAAAATTCTTACTCTATAATAGGAATTTTCTTGAGAACAGAAATAGGGAGGAACAATGCCAAATGGGACCTAGCATAAATTAAAGGGGTATTCTATAATGTGGTCGAGAAATTGGGTGGTCACACCTATGGTGTGGTTGAGACCGCACTACGCCATAGCAAAATAGACATTATATACTATGGTCAAAATTTGGTACCTTGAACCACACCACACTTGTATAGGCGTTCTACAAGGTGTTGTGGTCTAGGTCACACCTTATATTTTGATTTCGTGTATCTCAAATGCACAATGTGAAGTGATCTACGTTGTCAATCAAGAGTAACATTTTTTGGTGTTTTTAAGCAAAATGCATATCAATAATATGAATTAATTTAACATGTGATAAAAAAATTAATAGTAATATAATTAAAAAATTAAAAAGTTAAAAATTAATATTAATTAAAAAATTAATAATGATTATAAATTTATAAGACAAATTTCTTAAACTATTCCTACTATTTAGCTAATTGACAAACTGTACCCTTATTGTTTAACTATTATCTTAAACTAGCTAATTGACAAATTGTACCTTTACTATTTAACTATTGTCTTAAACCACCCTAAGTTTCTGAAAATTGTTAAATTAAATGGTAACAAAAATGATAAAGTGTCACTTTTGCCTTTAGGCTCTTCCTCATTTAACCTAATTTGAAATCTCCCCTTCCTGTCCGGTTGTTATGTCCCCGACCCCGAAACGGGAATATTGCATGCCGACAATTCCTCCGATTTCTTTTCTGCCTCTCCTTAGACCCTTTTTTGCTAATTCTCTCTCTATGTGTTTTCTCAACTCTCTCTCCATCTCTCTCTACGTTACCCCAAAGTGCCTATCCAAACATCATTTGCACTTTTGCAGCGACAAGCTCAGACAATACCAGTAGAGATCGAACCCTTGATCTCACTTCCCCTCCATTTTTCGTCCTCATAGCAAACAATAATCTTGGGTGACCTCCATTCTCCTCTGCCAAGATTGCTGTCGAGAAATCCCTCGCTACCTCCTCATCCTCTTCCTCCTTCGCTACCCTGTCAACCGATCCTGTTTCTCATCCTCTTGTAAAACTTCCAAATCAAACGCCGTGTCTGCATCCAAAACACTTTTGGCTTGTATCTGGTGGCGTTGATGGAGCTGCTACTTGATGAATTCTTACGGTTGTTTCTCTTGATCAACGACAAACAGTAACTATCAGCTTCTTACTTTAATCCAAAAGAAGGGAGGTTGAAATAGCACACCAGATCCATCGAGAAGAAAGATGCAGGAAATAGCACACCAGATCCACCGTCTCCATCAAATGAGCCGTTCATGCCACTCAATATACAATTCCACCGAGAAGAAAGATGCAGGGAAAGCAGGGTCTTTGTGTTTGATTCGGTTCGTCACTGCCAAAAGTGCGATGAGGTTTTAGTCAATAGCTGGTGATGAACCGATGATGAGAAGAGGTTTTAGTCATTGGATTTACATAATATTTTCTGGGTGTCCAATAGGTTCTGAGATATGAACTCTTGGGATACATGGCGGTGGTGGTGCTATGGTAGTTTGAAACTTTGAATACATCCATCCATCTACGCTACTCAGCGAAGCTCATTGAATCCTCTTTTTCACCCTAATAAATGGTTATGGGGTTGTGTTTTGTGTGCCAAAAGTCTGGGCGTTCGAGGGGTTCGGGAGGTTTGAGAGCTTGTGATTAATAATGGGAAGGTCGTAAATAGCCGAAGGGTTTTCGACGTTTAAGGGATTCTGGGCGTTCGAGAGATTAGGGCGTGTTCGGAGCCGCATAAATCTCGTGGTCGGTCCCGTCCACGGGATTTGGTCGTGTTCTGCTCCTGGCCCACACCTCAATATAGTGTGTCTCATTTACAACCCAATTTCTCGTCCACATCAAAATCTCGTGGTTAAGGATCATCCACACTTGATTTTTTATTTTTTATTTCACACTTTCTTTGAAAGACTATTCTATTATTTGTTTCACATTTTAATATTTTTGTCAATAAAATATTAATTATTTTACTTATTTTTTAATTTTTTAAAATTTTAATATTTTATCAATAAAATTATATTTTAAATATATTTTTTAAAATTTTAATTATTTTACTATTGTTTTATAGAAAAATTCATATTTATTGGTTAGTATTAATTCATTGACTAGCGGGGACCTGTGTGATGCAGGGGATTTATTAAGAGAAAACTAAATAATGAAAATGGTCATACACTAAAATACCCCTTATAGTTTTATGGATTTACTAAAATCTACCCTATAGTTAGCATTTTATTAAAACACCACTTATAATTTGCAATGAATTTAATCAATCTTCCATTAGATGATAGTAGAAAATGACAGCGTTGACTCTAATGTTCATTTAAATAAATTTAATCAAAAGAAAATAAAAATAAAAATACCATTTTTGCCCTTAATAAGACATAGGCAACCACTCTATTTGCTACATTTGTTCAGTTTTGTTTTTATACAAAAAAAGTGTTAGGGGTATTTTTGGAATAAAAAATTATGGACCTAAGGGCAAAACAAACACTCCTTAATGAAATCGTGGGCCTAAGGCCCCGACTTGATTCTGAAATTAACCCCCATCCTCGATCCTTGACGGGGATGGGTTCCCCATGGGGACTCGAATCCCCAAAATGTTTTTAGATAATAATATTTTTAAAATAAATAAAAATTATAAATTATAAATAATGTTTTAAATATATTTTGATATATATATATATGTATATGTATATAATATAAATAACATTTAATACACACACACATATATATAATCGGGGTTAGGGGGGGCGGGGACCTCAATCCCCATCCCCGACCCTGACCTTGATCGAGGATTCTTATTAATCCTTGTCCCCGCCCCCGCCCCACCAAAACAATCCTCATCCCCAGCCCCATTGGATCGGGGAAGTCAAGTCCCCGTCAGGGATGGGGAAAATTGCCATCCCTAAACGTGTATTCTAATAAATGACCCTAATAGAAACACATAAGAGTATACAATTGTTTTATATTTTTAACTTTTTAAATAATTAATAATTATTCATATTTTATATACTACTTTTAATAAAATTTTTATAATACAAAACTAACAATAATTAATTTTAGTTAGGTTTATTTATCAAACTGATGAAATCAACCAACCCAATTAACTCAACCCGAGTTGGTCGATTTTCTTGTATTTTAGGTTGGCTTTGGTTCAAAAATCTCCCAATTCGACCAAGTTGGATCAGTTCCACTTTGGTCATTTGTAAACTGACCAAAATTGAACAACCTAACCATGGATATATATTAATATTTTATATTTTAAATATAATTTTTAATATGAAAAAGTGAGAATTTTCCCATATTTCTTAGTCTAAAATGTTTTATATCATAAATCTAATTTTTAAATTTATTATTTAATAATCACACTGTAATTCTTAAAGTTAAATTAAATTTTTAAGTTTAAATCTTTTGAACAAACTAACCAAACCACAAAATCGACCCAAACCAATACAACTTGAGCAGGTCCATTTTCACAAAAGGTTAGTCGGTTTCAACTGACCAACTCTCTAACCTGACTAGGTCAATTTGGTTGGTCAAATAGCCTATGACCACACCGAACCAACTCATGAACACTCATAATTTCAGCTAAATTAATAGTCTTATCTCTAATAAATAACAATAGTTTAATCTCTCATAATTATTGAAAATTTATAGCAAAAATACATAATTATTGAAAATATATTGAAAATGAAAACAACAATAATTATAGAAATTACAAAAATACAATAAGTGCTAAAAATATATTAACTTAGTCAATAAATAGTATAATCTCAAATAATAGTTTAATCTCTACTAAATATTAATCACTAACTTATAACAAAAACACAATAAGTACAATAAATTAAATTTAAAAATTTCAATAATAGTAATTTAGTCTCCAATTATTGAAAGTTTTCTATCAAACAACTTAACAAAATATATTTATACATACTTATTGAAAATACATTTATCACAAAAGACAATAAATATTAATTTTAGTATATAATTATATAATAAATATAGATTAAGAGTTTAAAATTATTATTAATAAATATTCTTTTTTTAAAGTTATTTTCTCACATTATTATTAATTTCAATATTATGTTATAATTATTTTTCTACTTTTTAGATTTTTTAAATTTATTACATAATTTATTTATTTTAACTATTTAAAATCAAGTTATGTTAAATATTTTGTTATTTAAAATATTTAGTTATTTAAATACTAAATAATATGTAAAATATTTAAATTTTAAAATATTAATTATTTATTGAATTTAATTTTCCATAAAATCATAATTTATACTATGACTACATAATTTCATTATTAAATTTGTAATATATTAAATTATTATTAATTTAAATATTATGTTATAATTATTTTTCTACTTTGAATAATTTTTTTAAATTTATTATTTTAATTATTTAAAATCTAGTTATGACAAATATTTAGTTATTTAAATATTTAAGTAATCTATAAAATATTTAAAATTTTTTGTTATTTGAATTTTATTTATTTAGAGCTATTACATATTATTAAATATTTAAAAAACATTTAAATTGATAATCCAGGAACATAATTTAAATTGTTAGTACATAATTTCGTGATATATTTTGTAAAAATATACAATTATTTTGTGTTTTTAATAAATATGTTAAAGTTATTTTATAATTTTGTTAGAATATTTAAATAATTCTTAAATTTTTTAATCCAAACTTTCTTTAGATAGATATAGATAAAAAGTATGGAGATGATATATAGGAATTAGAGATAATTTAGGAGAGAAACTCTCTACTAAATTAGAGATAACATTTTGAGATAAATAGAAATTAGAGATAATTTAGAAGATAAATAGGAAGTAGAGATAATTTTGGAGAAAGTGGGGGATAGGGGGGTAGTTTAGGAGTAATTTTAGGAGAAGAGATTATTTAGGTTGTTGGGAAAGTGCATCTCATTGGTTGTTTAAAAAATGACATGGAATTAAAAAAATAAAAAATTCAATAAAATGAGAAAATAGATAAATAGCTTCTCTTAAAGGAGAGGCATGCTAACATGGCAGGACTAGTTTTAATATATATATATGCATTTTCAATATATTTATCATATAAAATGCAAAAGTTAGATATTTATGATTAATTGTATAGATCAAGGTTTTCGAACCGCCGTTGACCTAGATGGCCGGACCATTTAGCCTGGGAATCGTCCAGGAAAGCGGTTCTGTTTTAGCCCAAACCCAGTTTTTGGCAAAAAACCGTTGAAAAAGTCAACAACCCATTAATCGAAAGGTCAAACTATCAACCCATTCAACGGTTTTTTATTGTTTTTTATTTTTAATTTGTTTGTCATAATGGGTCGTTTGTTTGAACCGGATGGTCGGACCATCGACTCGAAAACTGGTGGCCAGAACTGTTCTGTTTTTCGGGTTGGTCCATGCTACAGGGTATAGTGTAGACAAGTCCACACCCACCAATTTTTAAAGGACGCCTACGTTCAATAAAGGAACCTAATGTCTAGTAGTAACTAGGTGTAAATGTGTAATGAACGAGCTTGTTGTTATTGCAAATATTGGGCATAATGGGGTGAAAATAGGAATGTTGGAAACTTGATTCTTTGGCGTCAAGCTGTTAGCATCCGATTTTTGCTCAATCCACAACCAGAACCTCCAATTTATCCCAAACATCTAATCAAACCCTTCCGATCCCTTCGAAACGCCAAAGAACTAGAATTTTGTCCCAAGAGTTCTCTCAAATTCATGGTTAAATTTGCCTGACACCAATCTGATGGCCTCGATCAAATCCTATCTATAGATAAAAAATACTTGCCCATAAAGTTTTAACCCAAAATTCTCCCATTTACCCCTCATCCAAATTTTACCGAAATACCCTCCATTCCAAATCTCCAAAATATCCTTCACTAAATATCCAAAATACATTTGACTAAATTACCTAGACACACCCCTTCTTTCCAAATTCCCAAAATCTCCTCTTCATGCCAAATGACCAAAATACCCTTCATTCTAAATCATTGAAACATACCCGTCGTTTGCCAAATTATCAAAATATCTTTTACTTATAAAATTCTCAAAATGCCCTTCATTTCCTAAATGACCAAAATGCCAATAAAATACCTCTCACGATAAATTACCAAAATACCCTCCAATTTCCCAAACTACCCTAATACCCCATCATTCCAAATTTTACAAAGTTCCCAAAATACCCCATAACCGAATTACCCCCCAATACCCCATCATTCAAAATTTCATAATTACCCTTCATTTGCCCTAATTCCCAAAATACCCCACCTGAATCAATGAAAATTACCAAAACACCCTTTCAAAATAATTCCTAAGACTGAGTTGGAAGGAGCACAAATGCAAATATGTAAAGTGAAAAACCTTATATTTTGTATTATTTGGTATAAATTTATGTGTACATATTTGCATTTCTACTGCTTCCAAACTGAGCCTAAAATACCTTCACACCAATCATCAAAATAACCCGCATTACCCGTGACATGAAGTCAAAATTTTCACAATTCCCCATCTTGTACTACCAAAATTTCCCCCTCAAACCCTAAGAATTCCTAAAATACACCCCTCAAGAAAAACTAATTCTCACAATTGGAAGTTTGGAATAGGGGTAGATTTGAGCCGAACCGAGCCGAATAGTAACAGGCTCGAGCTCGGCATAAGGCTCAAGCTCGAGTTCGAACCAGAACCTTGAGCTCGAACTCGGCTCGAGTCAAGAGTTCATAAGTTTGGCTCATTTTATATTTTATAAAAATATTTTATTAAAAAAATATTAAAAAAATATTTTATAAAAATAAAAAAATATATTTTATATTTAAAAACTTAAGAATAATAATAATTAATAATTATAATATTTTTATTATATATATTATTTTCTATAATTTTATTATATATATTTGAGCCGACTCGCAAGTCTTACACTCGAGGCTCATAAAAAGCTCGACTCATTGCCACCCCTAATTCGGAACCCCTTAAATCTTAAACCTCATCAAAACCCCACTCCTGGACCCTTAACCCCCACCCCTCGGTTGGGCATCTCGGTAGATTTTTCAGTTTCTTTTTACCCCAAAGAGAGGAGCCCTGTTAGAAAGAAGAGGGGTTCCCGGGAAGATAGGAGGGGTCTCTGGTTGTTTTTCTTCTCGAACAGGAGAGAGAGGCTCATCGGAGAAGAGAAAAGAAAGAAGGAGACAAGGGAGTTCTCTTCGAAGAGAGAAGAGAGAAAAAGGAGGGGTCTCTTGTTGTTTTTCTTCTTGAACAGGAGAGAGAATCGCTTTGGAGAAAAAAGAAGAAGGAGACGAGAGAGGTCTCTTCGAAGAGAAAGAGGGGGGAAAGATGAGCTGAAGTTCGGAAGGGGGAGAAAACTCTGTTCGCTGGTCCTACTCCCTAGTATGCGCGTCAAGCTCCGAAGAAGAGTTCTCCAAATTGACGGTTGAGCAGGAGAAGGAACCCTTGTCTTCTCCATTTCTCTATTTGGCGGAACGTTTCGCCATTGGCGATTCTGTCTTCACTGTCCTCTTGCTCGAAGTCCAGTTGGAACGCCTTACCTAAAAAAATCCTAGAACGTTGAACCCTAGAGTTATCTCGTAGCATTATCGATCTGATTCACAGGCCACAAGAGGTAAAGACCGATTACCTCATACCTTCAAGTTTCTATTCGAATATGATCGAATGTTTCGAATGTAGTGCTAGTTTTCCTTTATTTATTTAATTTATTTCATTGCATTTAGTTATCTGTAGTCGTTCCTTTTTTCTTTTTTTTTTTTTTTCTTGCGTTCAAATTCGAACACGGGAACTTGCGAATTCTCCGGAGTCCGACGGGTTTGTGCTTCCTCTTTTTTCAGACCATTCAGCCGAGTCCTAAAGTGGGGCTCTGATATAGAAGGGGTGAGGCAGTAATCTGTCGTCCTTTTGCTCAGACCCTGCGTCAAAAGAGGATTGGTCTAGAAATACAGAAGGAGGTATCCTTTCGGGCTGCCGAGGACCTGGATTTCCAGTCCGAATTTAAATAAAATGGGGAATTCAGCATTCACACTGACCGGAGAGAGGGATGCCTAAACAACAGCGGGTTTTCCCGACATTCACACTTGGGTTAGTTTTTTTTCTATTATCTGAATTAAAAAATAAAATAAATAAGAGATAAAAAGGGGAAATGCTGGAGTTGAATCCCATGGCACTTTGAGGGTTGAATTGTTTAATGTTTAGATGGTACTCCTGATAGGTCCTAGTCAAAGCTATTTAAGAGATTTGTAAAATAATATTCTGCTTGAGGTGAGAATGAACCTTGTAATTTTATTTGAATTCTGAACTGTCTATCTTGCTAAGTGATGAAGTTTAAATACAAAAAGGACTCAACTACTTCCCTAAACAAAAGGAGTGAAATGGCTAATTGACAATAAAATAGCTAACAATAATGGGATTATCCTCTCTAACTTAATTGACGATTCCTATGCAAACAAAATAACAACAATAACAACTAATGTAAATCTTTAAGTCGTAATCTGTAAGCCCATGGTCCAGGTCGCTCGTTGCTTTGCATGTCCCATGCAAAGTGATGCATGCTCAATCCCCGTACCTTGGATTCTTGATAGGCACTCGAGTTGATCTTCTTGGCTTATCATTGCCCCATTCTTTCAGTGGAACCTTGTCCTCAAGGTTCAAGTTGATATACTTGTTTTGCTTTCGTCATAATTTCCTTCAAGCAACAACAACTGCGGTCCTTTGCATTTGTGCCCCGGTTCAAATTTCTCATCGCAATTAAAACAAAGGCCTTGATCACGCCTCCTTTGCATCTCAGTCCAAGTGAGTCGTTTCATTGATGAAGCAGACTTTAGTTTTGTTGGAGAAGAGTCGATAGTGGTCATATTGAATGGATGTGTATTCTTCTCTTGACGGTTCAGCTGCTCATCTCGCATTCTAGCCAAACTTATGGCTTCCTTCAAGGATTTTGGCTTAAACATCCTAATCCCATCTGCTATTTCAGTTTTAAGACCTCTCATAAAGGTGCCCACCAATGCCTTTTGAGTCCACCCTTGCACTCTATTTCCCAATCTCTCAAATTCCCTTTGGTACTCACGTAAGAATCCCATTTGTCTTATTTTTGATAAAGACTCGTCAAAGTCTTCACAATCCGTTGGACCAAAACGAGACCATAATTCCTCTACAAAAATGTCCCACGACACCTCCTTCCCTTCCTCACGATAAGCCCTGCGTAACCATTGCCACCATTGATTTGCTTCTCCTTCCAGATGAAAGGAAGCCAAAGACACCTTTTGTGTTTCCAAAGTGCCCTGGTATTCAAAGAATTGGTCGACACACGTGAACCATTCAGTCGGGTCATCACCAGAATACTTGGGAAATTCGAGCTTAGCCAACTTAGAAGAGAACATCGGCCGTCCCCCTTCTGTGTTTTCACGAGAACGCCCGTTGGAGGACTGTCCGCTGCATTTGTTGACATTGCTAGAGGTTGGTTCTTGCCTTGTAAGCAAAACTTCGGAGATCTTGCTAATAGCAGTCTCTAGCTGATGTAGTTTGTCATTAACACCCAACTCCATTCTGCTCAAATTAGCTTGAAGTCCCCCAAGACTCGCTTCTAAATTCTCGATTCTTTCTTTGTTGGTAGCCATAATGTATAGCTTTGATACCACTGATAGGTCCCAGTCAAAGCTATTTAAGAGATTTGTAAAATAATATTCTGCTTAAGGTGAGAATGAACCTTATAATTTTATTTGAATTCTTAACTGTCTATCTTGCTAAGTGATGGAGTTTAAATACAAAAAGGACTCAACTACTTCCCTAAACAAAAGGAGTGAAATGGCTAATTGACAATAAAATAGCTAACAATAATGGGATTATCCTCTCTAACTTAATTGACGATTCCTATGCAAACAAAATAACAACAATAACAACTAATGTAAATCTTTAAGTCGTAATCTGTAAGCCCATGGTCCAGGTCACTCGTTGCTTTGCATGTCCCATGCAAAGTGATGCATGCTCAATCCCCATACCTTGGATTCCTGATAGGCACTCGAGTTGATCTTCTTGGCTTATCACCTCCTCTATTTGGGGTGGTACTAAAAAGTTTGATTGAAAGTTCAGTGTTGCAAAACTAAAACATGACTGCTTATCAGACAAAAGAAGAAGAAGAAAATGGTTTAAATTGCTTCTTGTTGAACCGTTTTCTATATGTAATACTTTATTATGCCCTGCAGTTGGGAGAAAGCAACAATAATGGCATCAAATTCTGAGGTAACAGAGCCTTAATGAACTCTTTTTTCTTCTTATTTCCTTTGCCTTTGGGTTTGTGGAAATGATATACACTTCTTCAACTCCTTGAAACATTTGAAGAAACCAGCACAGGAGTCGTTCCCTTTCTTTTCATTACCAAACAACCAGAACCAATCTGGATTCGGATTTCTCTTTGGGTCTAACGAAAAGCCTCTTCCACCACCACCTCCTTCTGTTGAAGTTCTTACCTCTGAGGTAATTTCTTTCCCCATTTAATTGTTTTATGTTTTTCAATTTCTTCATTATCTTTTTTTATGTTAAAATGTTTTCTCCTCTAACATGGAAAGATCAATGATAGAATGTAAATAAGAATGATCATTAATTATATTTTGACAAACAGATGTCACCGACTGTGAAATATACAGTAGAATCTGTCAATTTGGGTGATGGGCTTACTTTGCTTAAGGTACTAGCTCTTTTTCATGATTTCAATCTCTTTAGATATTAAGAATTTCTCCTAGATAACTCTCATCTGCATTTGTGTCAGGGCCGGGTGAGTACTCATGAAGTTTTTGCCTTATCAAATTCAGATCTGGTTCCTGGGAAATATGAGGGTATTTTGAAGTTCTAGCCTATTTATTGTCCCTAGACTCTAGAAGTCTGGAGGAAATATTCAAAATTGAAAGAAGTGTTTAATATTGCTAATATCTTTTTCTGGGTAGGAGGACTGAAGCTATGGGAGGGTTCACTTGATCTGGTGAAGGCTCTACATTCAGAGATTCAAGGTGGACAATTATCTCTGAAAGGAAAACATGTTTTAGAGGTGGGCTGTTCATGCTCAGGTGATGCTGTAGTCTCTTGTTACTTGATATGCTGAAATCTGATCCTATATATTAATGGGACTTTGTTATCTGCATTTGAGCTACTGATTTCTACAATCATAGTATTTTCTTTCTAATTTTTTTCATTGCAATTTTTTTGAATATATCTACTCTTATCTCTTAATGTGCTATTCATTTTCTTGGTTCATCGGAAGCCCAAGTTTCTTGGGAATAATCAGATTAATAATTGAACCAGACCAACTCTAGTAAGGCAAATATCTTCATGTATTTTTGTCTTGGGAAATATTTGGAGAGTGGTCATGCCATAGTTGTCAAGGCACGTATATAGAGGTGTAAAGTGGGCTGTGCCGTCCTCCCCGGTGGAAAATTTGGGGGTCGGCCCGACATGGCCCACGACCCAAGGCTGCACTGTTTTTTTTTTTCATTTTTTTATTTTTTTTGAAAATTTTGATTTCTTTTCTAAGTAAAATTGTAAAACTAAAATATTTAACTTTCCTATGAACTTTGGGAATTAGGAACTATTTAAAAAATTAAGAAATGAGAGATCTAAGTTATTTAATACATAAATGAAAAAAAATACTTAACCAAATTGAAATAAGAATGATG